GTGACTGGTTTCTGAAGGTTTGCAGTCACTGCAGTCATTCATGACAACTTGGAGAATAAAATGGCGAGTGTTTGCAGACAAATCAGTGTCTACAGGTGGCCGTGGCAATCTGTTTGCAACCAAAGCAATCACGATTCCTCTGCTAGTCGGGTCGGTAACTACTCTCTAGCCTTGTGTGACTGAGGCCTAAATTATTCTTACATCCACAATAATCAGAGTTGAATAAACACTCTCTAAATCTGGTTGAAGCTCTGTTGCTTCACCTACATTTCTTTGGTACAGTAGCCGTTGTCTCTCTCAGTTCTTACAGTAGATCTGCTTACAGTATTCCCAGATTTAGCAAGTTAAATCTTTGTATAACAAAAACATTCTTACATTTTGTACCTTGGTCAGTGTTCAAGCTGGAGCCATAACTCTCTGAGTGTGTGTGTCCTGTCAGAGTCCTCTTTCCTGGCTGCTTCCTGTTCATATCCAGGGGTGTGCTCCACTTCCTTCCTGCGCTGCCACAATCTTTGGTCAGGCTTCCTTCATGGCTTCCAGCTTCATGAAATCTACTGTATCTATCTGCTGCTGTGTGTGGCTGTGCACACGTGCACACGCTGGCGTAGAGGTTGCGCATGGGAAATGGCACACAGGGCTTCTTTGGTGTGTTTTGATGTGATATTTGCTCTGTGAGCACAAATACTGCCAGCACCTCTGAGGTCAGAAGTTGATAAGAGAAGACATGGAGCAATTTTCCCACACGGTGATGTCAGCGCTTGTGAAAATCCCATCAAACCCAAACTGTCTCTGCTCACTTTTAATTTTTTTTGTCTTTTCTCTTGCTTTTCCATTTCATCATTTCAGCAGGGCTACCTAAGCAGAAGTTGGTCTACGTCATTGATAACTGCCTAGAGGGCAAATGGTCTCCGTTGCTGGCTCAAACTCACAGAAACACAGACCATAAACAAACCAGAAAAAAAAAATCTTGGCTCCAGTTTCTGTGGTTAGTACTTCTCTATCGTTGATGAAATGTCAATTTTCTTGCAACATAGTGGAACGTCTCTGCTTCCACTCTGGGTGCTGTTGTTTTGACCCTTGAAAACCTTATTATTGTCTGCTTATTCCACCACTACAGCTACAGCAGTCAAAGCTTATTTTTTTGTTTTGTAATCTGGATAAAGCCGTGTACGTTGGACACAACCTAGCAAAGGGATAAAGCATATTATTTAAAGAGGTTGAAGCTCTAATTACAACATTGATTATATTAACTACCACATTCCAAGAGCTGTACTGAAAATTGGAAAAATTATAGGGTTGTTGTTATTATCTGTCCACCAGTATATTTCACATACTGGTTACAAACTTACTGTGAAATTGCCCCGTGATTCTATTTCACACTCCTCAGCTGTAATTTGTGCTCTGCTGCATGTGCTGTGCTGGAAGTGTAAACAATTGGGACGATGGCTCCGTACACAGAGGATCGTTTTCTGCATTTTTCTTTGAATATTAGCACACAGTAACCAATGGAGTAAGCCAATGTAAATATCAATGTTTATATTGAAAATATTAGCCAGTCCATATAATATTTGGCCTGTTTCCCCCCCCCCCAGTGTTCTTTGCTTTCTCATGCAGTCTTACATTAGTGAATATTAACAGTATGACCTACACATAATGGTTGTTTAGCAGGATGTTTTTTTTATTGTATAGCTGTATTTGTGTTTATGCTGCTCTGTGTTACTTGTTTCCTCATGTTTGTGTCTTTATTTTGTGTGAAATGTGGTTAACAGTGTCGCTTCATGAAATGTTTCTGAGTCTTACCCTCCTCCTGCTGGTTAACTGGGGCTTCTCTATGTGAGGTTTGCATGCTCTCCTTGAGAATTTGCAGGTTTTTCTCTGTCTGCTCCTGTTTCCTCCCCCTAACCAATGACATAGGTAAGGTATAGATTAAATTATTTTTTCTAAATCGGCTATATATCCTTTTTTATGTAAAGCCCATTGAATTACATGTACATGTGTACTGTTTGCTTCATTCACCGTCCACTTTGTAAGGTAAAAAATTCAAGAATAACTCGAACAGCCAAATGAGCTACAGCAGCAGAAGACCATACTGGGTACCACTGCTGTCAGAAAACTGAGTATACAATTAGCACAGACTCATCAAAACTGGGCAACAGTTCGGAATAACGTTGTCTGGTTGAATAGGTTTTGATCTCTTAGACTTAGAATAATCTTCTGAGGTCTTGATGACTGTCAATATTCGCTGTACTTCTAGCTCTGTTTTAGTGTTCATACACTCTAGAAATATATGTTTCTTCTGCCTTTAAATTCTTGTAAAGGTTACTGACACAATGAGAAGGAAACAAAGCGTCTCCCCTGGCCTGTGTACGCCAATCTACTGTATGTGCATGCTTGAAGTTTAAGGTGGACTCTGACAGTGAGGTGTAGTCTATTGATAAACATGTTCAGACTCTGGTTAGTGTCATTGTATCTTGACTCTGAAGCTTCTCTATCTCGTGACAGTCTGGGGTCATGTGACTGTTTCCCTGCGTGTTACTGTCACATTGGAAACTAAGAGGGCGTCTGAAAGGACAACCTGTCTCCCATCTCACTTCAGAGTCTAGCCCAGAGCTCTTGAGCCACTTTGGGAAATCAAATCACAGACAGATAGCCAGTAAATTTAGGGCACGACTGATGTCCCACATGCCAGAGCGGAGCAAGCAGTGAGTTTCTTTTAAGGCTTGCAGTTCAAGTTCATTATTTGTGTTAAAATGGAAAACCCAGTGATTTAAAAACCAGACTCGGGCAAAACAAAACAGGAAGAATTCAGGAGCATTTCTAAAAGCAGATGCCGTGAAAGCAGCCAGACAAAAACAGAAATGCAAATGTCACGTGTTGCTGTCAGATGCAGACAAACTCTCTCCTCCTTTTGGCTACTGGTGTAGATATTTTTAATACTTATGTGTTTTTAAAAACACCCTTTCCATATGTCAGACTATCCACTGTGTGTCTGTGACTGGCATTGTCTAGACAGATTAAGAGATGATGGGCTCATACGCCAGACACCCTAACTCAGTATCAAGCACTGAAGTGCTGCTAAACACTCCTAATCAAACACCTCATTCACTCCTCACAGTCCAAACTTTAGCTTAAAATATCACACCCACTGCCTGTCCCTCTCACTTTTCCTCAAACAAAACAACCCAGCTTCATGGCAAGCTCTCTCCTACACAACCACAAAACACCAAACTATCCCACAAAGAAAGGCATCTGTTTCCTGAGAGAAAAGCACTTTTCAAGAAACCACTGTTTTGTTTTTTGTCTTTCAGAGAAAACCATGTGGAAAACATATTTTCCTCCCCCTTCCACAATTGTTTGCATACTGTATAACCATCTCAGCTTCAGGAGTGTCAGTGTGGTGAGATGCCTGGCTGTCACAGAGGGGGGTTGCATGTGTAAGTAGGACGGTTTGATAAGGAAAAGTAGCAATTTCTGGGTCCAAACCACAGATATGATGAAGAAAACAAATGGTGCAAACAGCCTTTGAACTGAACAAAAAAACAACAAAAGCAAACCCCAAAATCAAAAACAGAAACTGGGAGTGCATTGACCTCATTCAGATTCAGATGGAGAAGAAGTCACTGTTTTGGAAGTGCCTCCTCTGCAAAATCTGGGGACTTGAGGGTCAGCTATGACAGAGTTGTTTTAGCCGTGCGGAGCTGTATAGAGGGGGGCCCTGTTTTCCATACGTGCTGTTCATTCTCGCAGGCTTGTTGTCGGTATGTGGAACAGCCGTGAAGGTTCTTGGCTCTGGGCTCTCAGGTTTTCTTTTTCTCTTTTTTTGTTTTGGCAGAGCTGATGAGTTTGCTGGGGTTTGAGTCGTAGCATCTGTTGCTTTGAGGGGGCCTGCTATTTATCAAACTGAAGCTCTGTCTGCTGGGAGCATAAAGGGAAAAGAAACATGGCTTACTATATAGGTTAACTCCTTCCCTCCCTCTATCGCTCTCTTTTTCCTAAAATCTGGAGACCTGTTTTTCAGCAATGTCTCTGATAAAGATGTGCAGGGAATTTTTAAGACCGACATTACCTACAGCACTTTCTACACCACCTTCTTGTGGCATTGTTAAATGTATGAAAATCAACTTTTTGTGTGAGTATTTGGCACTTGGAGTTGTTTTTCAGAACCCTGCTCACATAGCTGAGTACAGACACACAGATTAGCCCCCGGATTTCCAAAAATCCACCAGCATGTTCTTAGAAAGATCGTATTTTGGGAGGAAAAAAACTTGGAAGCTTGGTTTTGTCCCAGGCACCTTGAAGTAATCAGTGTACTTGTTTTTCTTCTTCTTCTTTTTTTGAGGTACATTAAAAAGACCAGCAGCATACTGTACTGTTAGACAAGTCTTGCTACACGCCTACTGTGTCAGCTTTTTCACAATTTGACTGTGTTTATTTACACACTAGAAACACAGGTATGATCCAAGCTGCTTCTCAGCCAGGTGACTAATGCAACAACACCACATCCTCAATTGTGAGATGATGTTAGACAACATTCCTCGTAACTGTCCCTTTTTAACTGACAAAACACCTTTAAGTAGGCATCGCTTGGATGCAGTGATAAAAGGAAACACTGTAACAGATTAAGAGTATGAGTGAGTAGCAGGTGGATGGGGAGACTGGAAGAAAAGATGTAAACAACTTGACTGAAAGACAGCAGAAAGTTGAAAAACAAGGTGGCATGTCACTCAGGTAAACATAAATGCGCAACATTTTCTTCAAATTTACCTACCTGCTTAAATAATGACTGGTCAGTTTTCTTTGCCTCTCATCCACTTCCTCCTTTGTCCTCATTAGTACAAAAACAAAAGCGTTCTGGCTTCAGTCAAGAGATCAGTGTAAAACCAGAGTCAAAATCAGCAGTGCCCCACCTCTCTGAATTTGTAAGGTTTTCACTTAAAACACTTTAAGACACCAGTGTTTAAGACACATCATAGCTACTTTACAAAACAACAAACAAATATGTTGCATTTGTGTTTTAAAAATTTCTAAAGTGATATAATAACATTACCTTTTGACTTTGATATAGTGTGCTTTTTTGTTTTGTTTTGTTTTGCAGTTATAGTGTAGCGTTGTCAGAACGTCACCAGTTGGTAGTGTAACTTACGAAATTACAGCCAAATACAACACTGGCATCAGTTAATGTGTTTATATGGTCGCTCATGTCATAGAGGGATCTGTATACGATCTGTATACGTAGTTTTGTTGATACCTAACTGATGGATAGGTGGATATGTTCAGCTAATTCATCCATGGCTAATCACACTGACAAATTAGCCAAATTTTGGCATGAAATAGTTATGACTTATGAAACTGCCTTAGTTCAAACTAGTCCGTCACTAGAATCATAATAGTATAGGTATCAGTGCATTTAATTTTTTCTGCTGTCAAAAACCGATTGAAAGTAGCAGTAACAACCAGCTCTCTACCTCTGGTTGACCTCTTTCGTCCACAGTGCGATTGCGTAGGTCATCTGGTGGCAACCTGTCTCCAAACAATCGCACACTGACTGAGATTACTCTCAGAGAAATTAGTGAAGGTCTGCAAATAATTGCCATCTAATTTATGACTAGAGACAGATTGCCAACATGTTGCAGGAAATCTAAGTCGTATTTGCCAACTTGACCCAATTAAATCACTTGCTGATTGCAGATTGACTCCGCCTTATTGTTGTTTTATCGTCATCTTAACCCACCAAAATCGCTTTGAAGACAGCAACTGGCTGTGAGTGGTTATAAGCCCAGTCTTTGCAATGAGATGGTAAATTTACAGGGTTGGATCTGAGTCTCCAACCACTGTTTTCCCTAGTGTCACATTAGCATAACCTTAGCTTTCTTACTACTTGCAAAAATACAACCTGAGAAATGCTAACTAGTTATTTTCTTTTGACCTCTCTCCTGCTCTGTTGTCTGCTCTAACTCTGCCCTCTGTCATGCCTTCCTTGTGATGTAACTCTTAAAAAACATGTTTTCTTGTTTCGCATTGGTGGTTCACTCTACTGGGCACACAAAGGCTCATTCATTCCAAGTTGTTTGCTTTTTACATCTTTTTAGCCCAGGAGCACAAATTGCTCTCATGTCTATCCTGAATCAGCTATCCCGTCAGCCAATCGGTCCTTTATTTATGCAATTCTTGTTTTGGGTTTAGCCTCCTTGAAGCGTGCCTTCTGACACGCTTCAGAAAGTAGAAAAAGTGCTGGTATATTGTTGTTGTTGTTTCTTTTCTTTCATTAACACTGGCTGAGATGAGAAAAGAATCTAAAAACTATAAGCACCTCTCTGTAATCTGTCTGTCTCCCACGCACACATACAGCTGTGCGCATATCCAACACATGCTCTCCAATCAAAACTTTCACACTGAGAGACAGCAACTGGTCAACAGGATATAAAACCTTACTTTTTTCTTTTTTTTTCTTTTGTTCTTTATTTCAGAAGTGACCTTTCCCCTACTTTGCTTTTTCTGCACCCAAGCTCGCTTTAGCATTTCTGCTATATTTGTGGTTTTACCCAAGTTTGTCTCATTAACGTTTTCAAACAGTGACATTTACTTTAACCCACTACTTTAAGCTGTAAGCTGGGTCAGGTGACCCGTGTATTTCACTTTTTAGATTTAGGTAAACTGTTTCTGTGTTGTAACTCTGCACAGATTTGTGCAGGTCATTAACGGAGTCCAGCTCATTTGCTTTATGCATTATGGCTGAGTCATTGCCATGTATTTGATGAAAGGTTCACACTGTGACGGAGATCACTCTGCTGAGCCTCACCCCTCACCCTTCCTCTCCCTCCTGATTGGTGTTAGTGGAAGGGAAGATGACCATCTGCTGCCCCAGTTGCCCAGTGACTGGACAACAGCCCTCCCTTATGGCACAGTTCCACTGTCCATTGTCTGCTTGAGACAAGCGAGAGCTAGTGTGTGTGTGTGTTCCATTTTTATGTGTGTGTGGCTTAATCTGTCCGTGTATATTTGTATGTCCTCCTCGAAGAGAGCAAAGTATTGTGTGAAGCTTTCCTGTGGGAGTCCCATACAGAACGCACCCTCACCCAGCAGGACGGTCTTCGGTGCGGTGTGCGCGAACTCGACCTTACAGGCGGGTTAGTGCAGGGTCAGATTCATAGGCTGCAGGCCAAAACTTTGCTCTGGTGCATAAAGAGAATGGATTTCCTCTCGAGACATGTGTCCATGATCACACACACACAGACAAATAGAGGATCCTGTTGCACTCGCCTAGAAGGGAAATCTGTAGCATTGTCTTAATAGATGGTGGCTTGCACCTGATGCTCGTTGCTGTAACCCTTTAAGTACGCTTATTCACTTTCTTCCTGAGAGCTAATAGTGAAGATTGGCACCACACACAACTGGATTGTTTTCCTTTATCTTGATCAGCTAAACAGCTCTGAACTCTTCCTCCAAAATTAAAATTGACCACCAATTATTAGTTCCTTATTTCACTCATATAAACTGTTATAATGATGCTTGCTGTTCTTAAATCAAATACTCAAATAATGAAACTAATGTATGGTCAAAGGCCACTTTGTTAGGTGTACCTGTTCAACTACAGCTGAGTATGAAGGTCAAGTTCAAGTATGCTGGTATTTTTCATTTTTTTATTCACGAGTAATTGGAAAGTAGAGTGCAAATTGAACCAGCAAATTCGGACACTGTCAGCAGTAAAGCGGGTGTTTTATACACTGTTGTGATGAAGAGGGGGCTGAACTGCAAGCCAAAGCTGTATCTGTATTCTAACTTTCACCTGTGGTCAAGACATCTGGGCAGTGACCAAAAGAGTAAGGTCACGAATACAAGAGCTCAGATGAGTTTCCTACACAGGGTGGCTGAGAAACATGAGGAGCTCAGATATCCAGAGAGAGCTGAGAGTAGAGCTAATACACATTTACGTTGAAGGGAGCCACTAGAGGTGGTTTGAGAATCTGATAAGCGTGCATCCTGGGTGGCTCCCTTTGGAAGCTCACGCCTAAAAGGGAATGACCGACAGTATAGATCCAGAACCTCTGAAGATCTATCGTATCTGGCCTGGGAGAAGGAATATGTGCCTTAGCCCACCACAACACAACTTTAATTAAGTGTAAGATATTGGATGGACCAATTCTGCTCCCCAATGGGATATCAGCCAATCACATGGGAGCAACTCGAAGTTCATTTAAGCATATAGACGTAGCCTGTTGATATTCTAACAGAGCATCAAAATTAGGAAGAAAGGTGATTTAAGTGACTATAAACTCAAGGTGGTTGTTGAGTTTATAGTCACTTGGGGATTGATGGCACTGACTTGGAATGACACACGCTGATTTACTTGGATTTTTACCCCACAACCATCTCTAGGGTTTACAGAGACTTGTCCGAAAAAGAGAAAATATCCAGCGAGCGGCAGTTCTCTGAGAGAAAATATTTTGTTGATGCCAGAGGTCAGAGGAGAACGATTGGAATTCTTGTAAGGCCAGGAAGGCAACAGTAACACAATCACCAATTAACAACACAGGTATACAGAAGAGCATTTCTGATTACACAACACTTTGACGATGGCTCAGGTTATCAAAGTTTTTTTGTTTTTAAATTTTAGTTGCATCTTTGTCTCTAAGTAGTCTGTGCTGCAGTGCATTTCTCAGGAATAAATATAAAAAAAAAAAAACAGAAAAAAAATGCACAGCTGACACACTTTTGAGGGAATAGTTCATGTTAGTACACTTTTTCACTAAATGTCTCCTGGTTGTAGTGAAAAAGAGGAACAGATATGAGTAGAGTAGGGTCAATCTTCCCAGGTACCCTTTGGCATGAAAACAAATAAGCACACATAACACTGAATAATGCCTTTAAAGCACAACTTGCGTATTTAAGTGCACCTATGCTTGATTAAACACAGAGCAATAAAAGCTTTTTTGTCACTATGACAGTGATTTACTATGACAGTGATTTAAAACAGACTTATCTTTGTTTAGTTTACAGTAGAAGCCACCGAATATGAATCTAATCTATGCCTGCTTATTGACCGTCTTTGCTCATGAGCCCGTCTCAGTCCATGCTGATGTAACGCAGCATTTGGAGCCTCGGCAGGACGCAGACAGACGGCGCCCCAGGTGAGCCCACGCCGCAAAGATGAGAGTAGCTCATCAGGTTAACACGCTGCTTGTGTTTTCTTACAACAACTCCAAACCAAAATTGAAAGATGTGCAGTGGCTAACCACACATGTCATTCCCAAGATGACAGAAATGTAGTTGTTTCTTTGATAATGAAACCCAATCTGTTGTGTAAAGGGAAGAAAAAATACACATCTTTCTCTTAGTCACCTCGGGCAGTTAATATAGTGTGTTTTTCGTTTGAGTTTGAAATCGAGACCGAGAGTCTGTTTTTAACTTTTCAGATCACACGTTTTTCTCAGGCTGTATTTAGTCAGTGTGATTTGACAGCGTTAGTGTTGTTATTCTTCTCACCCTGTTTCCATTTTTGTCACATCTCTTTTTTTCTCTCCTTCCTGTTGCACAAGCTGCATCTCTCCTGTATGCACAAACAGGTAATGGAGTGACTGAACTGAGCTCAGTTACTCATTATCCCTCCCATTCACTCCTGTCAGTAATCTGCCTGCTCCTCCGCTGCTCTCCTTGGAAATCCGAGAACCCTCATGATACTGAACTTTTCCTCCCAGACATTTATTGAGAAAAACAAGCCTGGAGAGATTACTTTTTTTTTCTGCTTAGCTGAACACATTCAGCTACAGTTCAGTCAGTGGGTCTTAAAGCTCCAACCACATACCAGACATTAGTTTGTGAGTGACAAAATTTATGAGCGACCGTTGAGCAATGCCAAATGCCTGTGTGGCTCAAAATGCTGTTAGGCTCCACTTATTCATTTTTATTACATTTTAACCCTGAATTTAGCCTTTATTGCATAATGAGACACTGTATATTAGATCACAAAAAAAAGAAGGAGCAGGGAGCAAGAATAGAAACTGACAAATACTCCTGAGCATAGCAAGGAGATCTTGTGGATTGGGAATGAGCCATGCTACTCTGGGTTTTTTAGGAGTGTGTGTGTGTGCTGTGTGATTGTGTGGGGAAACCTGATAGAAATCTAATTTGGCAGAGCTATTATCCCCTTTAGACTTCCAACAGTAGGCTTACACCGTGCTGTGGCTGCCACTAATCCCATAATGGGCTGACTTTGCACTGAAGCCGCACAAAGACCGTTCCCTTTGGTGAAAACTATGACAGTGGTTTCTGTTAATGGTGCCTATGTATGTGAGCTGCAACACTGTGTGTGTTCAGTTTGTGTGTGTGTCTCCTCAGGTGAGTGGGCAAAGATAGGTAATCTAGTGTACAGAGTCATCGATTTTCCCCGCTGCACAGGAAGTGGCTGGTTATTGATTCTCTGGGACAATGATGTCACTCCAGACGGTGCAGGGTGTTTACTTACCCACGATAATGTACGAGGCGCTTTGTCGCCAAACGCTGGTCAAATAACCCACTCCCTCACTCCTCTCTCTTCGCTCTTTCCACCTCCTGTCTTTTCTTTAATTGCGAATGCCCCCGTTAACCCCACGTCCAATCATCACAGATGAGCGATGTCGTTTATGAAGGCTAAATATTTTTGCAGCCCTTTATGCTATTATGCATTTGCATTTTAACTTTAATAGCTTTTCCATACACATAGGGTTTTCCCTACACACTGCATTTGTTTAGTCAAAAATGCACTGATGTGACATTTGACTGTGAAGCAGGAAAACGGTTTGAAAGCTCGAGACTCTTCTAAGAAAACATTTGCCTTCTCTTTGTGTTTTATCTTCTCTTATTATCCCATCATTGTTTACTGAGTTCCGCTAAAGCAGGACTTTAGCTGTGGAGGATAAATAAACCACTATACTGTTCTATTATGTTAGTTAGTCCTAGTCTAATGAGTGGGAGTAGTGCCCAACCTCACTTTTGGCCCAACGGCATCTACCTGTTTGGCTTACGTAAGACCAGTAACAGCCAGCAGGTTAACTGCTTGTTAAATGCTTGTTTGTGGCACTAAAACAAAAAGTGCTCACTTTTTTTTCTTTTTTTTAAGTGAAGTTTTTTTGTTTTTTAAATGAGTCGTTCATGTGTTCACAGAGTGACTCATGTTTCTCATCAGCACAGGAACGCAATCGGTGCATGCTACACTGGAGAGGAGCCACCTTATCTTAATTCATGTAACTCTTTAAAGTTGGAGAGATATTTGAATCAGTCTTGCGACCATGAGGGGAATGATATGATAGATTTTCTGCCATTGCTTTGTCCTTTTCTCTGCTCCAAGGGCCTGTAATTGATTAACCACAGAGCAAATACGTCCAATGCTACCTGTGGCATGAGACAGAGGACCGCACACGCGCACACACACAATGCGGGCACACTTCTGTGAGGGTTCATGAGGTCCACAGAGAGTTTGTAAATGCCAAGAGCAAACTCATGTAAACCCTACACATTAACCCAGTTTATTTTTAAGCAAAGCTAAAGAGCAGGTGTAGAGGATTTGGGATAAAAGTGTCTTTAGAAATGTAGCTTTTGACTAAATAAGTTTAGATAGTGCTTTTCACAGACTTAACAGCCGGAAAGTGCCGAACAACAGTTAAAATGCAATATCAACAGAGAATCTTGTTAAAGCAGAATTAGAAGAAAAACAAACAAACAAACAAAAAAACAAAATGTCAGCAGGAGGCCTGATTAAACAGAAAAGGCTTTTAACTGTTTTTAAAAAGCCAGCCAAATGGAGCTGGAGCGGTAAACTGGTCCAGAGTCTTGGTGCTACAGATTGAAAAGCTTTGTCCCCTCGAGTCAAGCAAAACTACAAAAGCTGCAAGCAATTCGTAAATGTCTGCTGAAAGGCATGGAAGTAAAAAGATTTAATTTGCAAGGTGCAAAAGCTGCTGTACTCTACTTTATTTGAAATACATGTTAGGATTTAATTCAACTTTGACTAAGACACTTGCATGCCTAAGTAGGCGGTGTTTATGCAAGCAGTGGGATGTATGAAGATATTTCAGCCCAGAAAATAAATGTGCTTCTGTAAGCATTTCCTGCTATTTTTTTCACATTGTTTCAGAAGCTACAGACTCATGATCTCACATCATGTGCTTAAGTTTTCATGTTTGAGGAACTCTCCGGTTTAAGTCCTTGGAAATGAACACGTATGATGGAGAGAACACGTCCTGTGATTGCTTATTTATATTATCACTTTTCTCTCTTGTGTTTGTACACATGATGTCTGCTGGCTTCACTGTGTGTGTGTTTTGTGCGCTTCCGTTCAGACCCCCTGTTTGGAGTCAAACCTGTTGTGCAAAAAGTAAGGGACAACTGAGAGGATCAAAGGTGAAGGGAAGTGAAAACAAAGGGATGTGTTGGCAAACTCTACTCATCCAGGCTCCTTCTGTTGACCTTTGACTGCCTCAGTTAGTTCTTGGAAAAGAAAATGATGCAAATATTTTTGCATAATTTTCAATCAATTTCCAGTTTTTATTTGAAACTACATAATTGTGGTAAAACATCTATGATGCTGCATCCCACTTAGCAAAAAAAACAACAACAATATATATATTATTTTGTTTTGTTTTGTTTTGCCTTTAATCACATTCCTTTCATTTGCCTTTTGCATCTAAAAAAGTCCAGATTCACTCCCTGCCAGGCTTTTAATACTCAACCTTACTGGCTTTATTCTGCACGACAAAACACAAGAACTCAGTTTTTTTGTTCTACTTGGATCATGTGATGTGGATGCTGGTGTGTTTGCTTGAAACATTCAGTTTCAGCCTCGGTCTTTTAAGTAGAGTCATGTGAAAAAAAGAGGTTTCACAGGACTCGTGTGCAGTGCTGTGAAAACTTAAGTACACCCCATGATTCAGTATCTTGTAGGGACCACCTTATGTAGCAATAACTCGAAGTGATCATTTTCTGTATGACTTTATCCATCTGGAACATCACTGTGGAAAACCTTCGGCCCACTTCTTATAGCGTTGCTTTGGCTCAGTCAGCTTTGTGAGCATTGTTTATGTGCAGATGGCCTCACATTTGACTCTAGCGTAATTTGGTATACAGAAGAGTTTATGGTCAACTCCTAACTACCCAGCCCAGGTCCTGCAACAGCAAAACAGCAAAACAAGCTTGATATCCTGTGTTTTGTTTTTTTGTTTTTATCCCCCCCACACGTGCTACTGCGTTATGGGCAAACATCTCCACTTTGGTGTAGTATGTCTAAAGGACGCTGTTCCAGAAATCTTCTGATTTGTTTAGGTTAAACTTTGAAACCTGCCATGTTCTTTTTAGAGAGAAGCAGCTTTCTCCTGGTGACCCTTTTAAACAAGCCATATTTGTTCAGTCTTTTTCTGATTGGACTGTTATGACTGAGGCCTGTAAAGACTGAGATGTAGCTCTTGAGGTTTTTTAGAGTTTCTTTGATCATTGCATGGTCTGACCTTGGAATGAATTTGCTGGGACATCCACTTCTCGGAAGACTTCAGCATTTTGCTAACACCCGCCTAAATTCTCCAGACCAGCAAACTGCCAAAGTGCCTGCTTTTTATAGACACTTCTTGATGATCGGTTAGTAAAGTGGATTTGATTAGCATCACCTGGTTGCTATGTACCCTCGAGAAGATTAAAATAATGTCAGATGGAAACATTTAAAAGCCTGTTGATCAAGTCAATTTCAACCACGAGCAAGATGATGCTCGTGGTGTCACAGTGTGCGAAGTAAAGGCTCGACAGGTGTAGAAACAATAACTAATTAACAGTTTATTATAACTTAATACACAAAACTTCAGCTGCTCTGTGTTACACTTTATGTAAAAGTGAATTCAGTATGGAGCAAATCAGCCTCAAAAACAAATCTACATGTACAAAAGAAGTGAAATTAATAAATAAATGCTATTTTAATCTGAATTCACAAGCCCAACCATCAGCTGCACAAAATAATCTCTACAATGAATGGAAATGCTGAGTCAGTGACGACAGCAGAAAAGGACGGGCGCCAAGGTGATTGAGTTTCCAACCAATCAAACTGACATTTCATAAACAATTAAACGTTGATATGGCAATCGCCGTGACGTCGCACTCAATGTCCTGCTGGCCGTTTTGTTCTGCGATTCAGTTCCAGAGCTCATTGCCTATTTATGAAGTAATAAGACACGGCCAAAACAGTTCGAGGGTAACGATTAGGCCATATCACTTCCTCCACCCTTAAAGAGCAGCAGTATCACATCCCTCTCTTCAACGCTGCAATCAAAATACATCCTGGTGAAGGCAACAGATTGAGAGGTGGTGGAAAAAGAAAGGGGCAGAAGTGAAAGCAGTGAAAGGAAGAGGCAGATTAATGCAGAGTGCAATCATTTCTAATCTTTGCTGTAGCCACTGTGATCTATTACATCAGACTTTTATTAGTGTCTGAACCGGTGTACTTAGCCGTGGTCGCCCCTCTCATAACCAACAGTACTTCTTAATCTAAGTAAGAGTTCACCAGGTTTTATATGAGCAAGGTGGTGATAACAGTTTTTTCTTTTTTACCAGTCTTTGATTCAGTGGCTCACATTATAACAGGAGTAGCTCCAAGGAAGATATTGCTTTCTTTTTATATTTTTGGGGAGTGACTATCCCACAGAAACCGGTGAAGGGTCGGGACTTTTGTGCGCCGTTTACAATGCCTGTCAGGGATTACAGGGTGACGATCAACACCTTTTTGGCTGCTTTCCCAGTAAGATGAGTCATTTCTTGCTCAGTCAGCAAAACCAAGGTCTTGTCAGACAGAGAGAGAGAGAGAGAGGAAAAAACAGCTGTGCATGCAAGCAGGCACATAGAACTATTAAAACCAGAGGTGCTGTCTTCTGATGGGTTGTTGGAGTCCTGATGTAAACATAAGATTAGCCATGTGAGCCCCATCTGTTAGTCTTTAGGTAACATAAGTACTAGAAGTAAGTTTGCCTTTAATTTTGCAGACACACTCACTACCACACTTTGTAAAGCCCTTTGGACTTGCACTGTTATCTCTTGACTCCCCATCAACAAGCCTATTGATGTGAAAGGGCATTTGAGATTTTTATTATAGAAATGGAGAGAGAGGCAAAAATATGACGTTTCTACTGATTTGTGGCGGCTTTGTCATTATCATGCTAAAGATAGCAGGGGAGGGTTTGGTATTCTGTGTTTTTCTGTGGGATCTTTTTCTCTTGGAGCCTGTTGTATTATGACAGCTGCCCTCTCCCTGTTAAAATAACATCCCCGGGAACTCACTCTTCCTCACGTGCACATGGGTTGCAGGCCAACACCTCTTCCCCTGGATTGTCGACCACTGTACATAGGGATTTGTGCATGTTTATGCCTGGCATTACAAAGCCATAAAAGAAAGGTTACTTTTACTCCCAGATACCTCTTTCCCCTTCGTTTTTCTTTTTTCCGTGTGCTCCCTAAGGCCTCTGCAGTTCCTCTGCGTTTCATGGAATCCAGGGAACGTTGCTTCCTCCCAGTGTTGCTGTGTGCTGGACCAGGAGCTGCTGGTCTTAGAGTGGGGGGGGCACGCCTCTCCTCTCAGGAAAGAAGGCGCTTGGCGAGACCACTCCACTCTGATAGCCTGCCAGAACATACACAGATCAGGGGGAAAAAAGGAGAATGAAAAGGGACCGGGAGTGGCTGAAAGAACCAAAAGGCTACTTTGGTCCGGTTAATTCCCGCAAAGATTCAACTTTTACTCACAAGTCTTTACACAAAGAGAGAATTATGGTTAAACTACATAACATCAGCTCTCACGGCTGACTCTGAAGCTTATGATCAAGACTTAGGATGAGTTCTGTAAGCCTGCGGGACAGGTAACCCTTTGCTCATCAGATGAACAGGCGTAACCTTAGAGCTGTGTTTGAAGAGTGGGGACGAGGAATATCCTCTTTATCTGTGTACAACGTTAACACAAAGTCTGCATGTGCCCAAACTTGGTATATAAAGGTATCGATTTTTCTCCTTTACTGTTAAAAACAGGTTTCACGGCTTTTCAAAGGGACGTGTTTACATGGAAAAACTTCTGTAGTTGTTTTTCAGAGAGGAGAGCTGCTGTTGTGAGCCTCAGGGCTAATTTGAAACATGTGGTTTTTGTGTGAGGCTTTTTAGACATTTTGTTTTGCCACTTTTTATCAGAGAAACTCAAACAGACAGAAATTACAACTTTGCAAATACACGAGAAAACCAAATAGTTTTCTGTGAAGCAGGCCAGATTAGGACTTCATACCTCGGCAGAACTTCTCTCTCTCGCTCTCTCTCTCTCTTTCTCTCTCTCTCTCTTTCTCTCCCCCCTTTTTTTTCAGAGAAACAAGAGAAGCAGAGAGAGAGTGCAAAGAAGATTGGTTCCTGAAACTGTTGTTCTGCCCTGTGATTGGTGAAAGCCTGTTGCTAGGCTTATGTCAGTGTTTGAGAGTTTTCCGCTTTCTCTCCTCTGTGCACTGATAGGTCAGGTTAGAACTGGTCTGGTGGACTTCTGCCACTTGTTGAACATCCCCACAGTTTCTGCGGTTCCCTCGCTTCTCACTGCATGAGAAAACACGGCAGCCGCAACGCTGAAAGACACACGTGCAGAATTTACACCCGGCGTCGCTTCCTCTCTGTTTTTAATTCTTATGAACTTTTTATCAACCTCTTTATTGGTTTAAGTCTGTTGTTAATTCTTCCGGGTGCTCGTAAAAGGGAAAAACAGCTGCTCTTTCTGAGCATTTGAGAAAGCAGCTGCCATTCTTTTAAACTAATAAATGTGAACTCTATTCTACAGCCATCACAGTTTAAAACCTTGAACTCTTCCGTGTCATTGAACTTTACACCTTTTTCTGTGCTCTTTTATGCTTCAGTGCACTTTGTATGGTTGAAGTAGCTGTAAAACATTTGTATTTAGTTTTGTTTTTGAGGCATAATAGACTCAAAAAGTATTTAAATAACTTTGTGGAACATAATCCACTTTTTTTCACAGGCTCGATACATTCCTTCGACACTGTTAGCTTTTTGCTTCCTTCTCTTAAATGTGTAAGCTGATGCTCCCATGCACAAAGCACACAAGCTTTGATGGCCCCCGTTTCATGCATTAAAGGAAGCTTATGTAACCCTCTGATCAACAGCCTCTGGCCACAAAAAAGGGGTATCATGAAAATGTTAGTAAAAGCAAAATTACTAAAGTTTGTTTATACACTTAATTAAGTACACTTCTACAACACAATGCAAATATCTAATCCGCCGATCACATGGCAACAACAAGACGATATGCTGAAGTTCAAACTGAGCATTAGACTGGGGAAGAAAGGTGATTTAAAGCTGGTCTAAATATTTCATGAACTGATCTACTGGGTTTTTTCTGCACATCCATCTCTAAGGTTTAAAGAGAATGGACTGAATGGGGGATATTTTTTGGCACACTTTGACAACTTGATGGGGAAAAAGTGGTGGGGATTTCAAGGGGTAAAAGTTAAATGCTGCAACCTAACTGGGTATTGTTGTTGACCATATTCGACTGGTCCAAAAGTAAGAAAACATTCAGAAAACAGTGAAATCGAGAATGTAAAGGACAAATTCCACCAAAGTGTGTGAGACACATTGCATGTTTACAATGCCACAGGGGTTTGCCAAACGTGGCTAAGACTAGCGGACCGCTAGTCTGAAGCTGCCTTTTTTTCCTCGCAGGTTAACTTTCACATGGCTGTACTGCATGTGGTTGCGTATTGGCCAAGTGTGGTTCTAAGCCTGTAACTCAGCCCACATAGAAATATTGTATTGGGTAAAACCATACTGGTTTAACTCTGTGCCATCTGCTAGTGGCGAGTGACTGCGTGACATTTTAGACCCAGAGGCTAACCAGGGTTTTATTTGGTGTTCGGATTTCTAATCGCTCACGCTGACCTGAATTTGTTTACATTTCTTTTTTTTTCTTTTTTCTTTTTTTTACTCACCTCTTTTCTTGCTACCTTTAGGTGTCATTGTGTGGTCCAAAGTAGCTTTAAATAATTGTACCTGCCTACAGTCTTATGTCATTTAAAATATGTAAACAGGCATTTATGAACAAAAAATTTTTTCCCATCCCTTGACTATGAAAGTTCATAGAAATATTTTTTATTACCATTAGTGTAACTAGTGGAAGTCTGTCCATTGTTCCGGGCCCTTCCTCAAGCAGATAAGTATCTGAAACAAATATGAGATGATTCCTGTTGTTTACAGAAGTCTTTCCCTTTATTATAACTAATCTTTCCAGTGTTCTCTTAACCCTGATCCAATCACACACACACAGTGACATCTTCAGAGTGGGTCAGCGGCCATCACCCAGTAACAGCTAGTAATCCTTTCAGTTGAATTTAAAGCGTTCATTGGATGTGTGGCCTTATTTCTCTTGCAGCAGTGAGCCATTCAAGAACAAAGCGTGCAAATCAACGTCACTGTCGCTGACATCAAACCAATTACTGAGATGCTTAAAGATGTAGGTCCTCACACTCCCCCGAGACACCTGCAGTGTGGTTTTTTTAGTTGTCACACTGTGTTCTGAATCAGCTTCAGAAGATACACGGGAATGTACAAAGTCTTAGAGGCGCCACATATTGAGGTGAGCAGTTCAGTTAGGTTTTGTTAAATTGTGTCAACACCCAAGACAAATGAGGAAACACACAAGGTTTAGCGGTTCGGAAGAGTCTGCTCGGTGTTAAAAAGCATGTGTGTTGTTTATGTAATTCAGGACTGTGTACTGACTAAAAAAAACCCAACATAAAGCTTGTTATCACCCAAAGAAATCATGGCCTTAATCAAGGTAGGGGCATGTACAGTATTCCCTGAATCACAGAGACTCTCCCTCCCCCCTAAATGTGAGTACAGTAAAGCCTACTGCGTAGTCGGTGCGTGGACTCTGACAATAGTGTTTGGCCTTGTCTGCGAGGCCGGACCCCCGCGCCTAAGCGCTTTTATGTGAAAAGGTTTGGTGTGTCGTCAGCCCGAACGCTGACAAGCCTCTTCTGCAGCTTTGCTGAGCCATGGGGCTCCCGGCAGCCCTGGGAGTGCTGACTCCAGCCCTGGGAACATGTTTACTGCCGCCCTGCACCCCACCCTGTGGCATCAGGAGAGGGACTGGCAGAGGTGGTGTTAGTGGTGGCAGTGGGTAGTGTTGGTGATGAAGGTGGAGGAAGGAGAAGTGGGTGCGGGGTACACACAATGAACCTGCTGAACATCGTACTATCGCGTTATCAGCACTGGGGACTTGTAGTGGGTTGACAAACTGGCAGGGCAGGCTCTTGATTGGCGAGTGCAGGGTCAGACTTGCCTTTTCTTGACTTCCTCTTTTTACTCATCGTTTTCTAAATTTAGCTTGTTTTTTTTTATTGGCTCTTCCTCCAGAGTCGGTCCGAATGCTGATTTAATCATGACTTGTTGCTGTAAAGATTACCCAATTTCAGGACAAAGTTTGTCAAACTCTATGGATTCTTAAAACTTAAAGCACACTGTTGAACTTTTGTCCACATGAAAAGAGTTTGTGTGAAATCTCTTAAAAGAAAAGCTCCATTTGCTTTGGGAAACATGTTATCTTGAAATATCGTGTGTCTGTCTGTGTGTCTTTGCAGCCACTTTGTGGATGCGTTAGTGCTTTTGTAATGTGGTTGCTGGCAGTCCAGAAGAAACAACATTGGACTCACATGTGCTGCTGAACCATCTACCTCCTGTTCATAAAGATTTTCACATATAAATGCCCTGCATCTTGCACCTAAAACAAAATAAAAATAACTTGTGTGAATGAAATCAGATGTATAAATATAAAGTTTGCATCGCGGACAGTTGTTTTCCTGATCGTCTCATGTGATATCCCTCTGAGTAATCATTGACTTTGTGAACCACTGCGATGTGATAAACCAGTTATATGCCGTTCTACTGAATGTGTTATTGTCGGCTGGGATAAACAAAGCCATAAGAGAGCTGCCTTTCTTATCTTTGCTTCCTCCTGGCTTTTAAAAAAAAGAACTCCTTCGGTCAGCCTGATTGGTGGAGAAGTGGCAGCATTTGTGGTGCGATAGGCTGCGGTGAAAAACCACCAACTGAAGGGCTGTTGTTGCAGCAGGTCCTGCACCGATCCATCTCGATGATCTTTGCACAGTGGACCTCTACTTTTTTTTTTTCTGTTTCCACTACTCAAGGCGAGCTGGGGGCTCAGCTTACACCCCCCTGCCTTCCAGTACAGCAACAAGGGAAGGTGGTGGTGCATGCTGGAGCTGGCTTTGAGTGGTTGTTGTTTTCCCTGAATGCACAGATAAACTCCCAGATTAACCCACGCAGACTCCATGTTCAAGCTCCATTTTTGTCAGCAAGAACTATTTTAAGCATTCCTGCAATGTGATAAGCGCGACAGGGTGGTATTGATTTCAGCCTCAAACCATCCTGTACTGATTGCATGTATCAGTCGGCACACAGAGCTTAATACATGACAGTAAATGCAATCATAATTATTGGCAGCAGGGAACAAAAGAAAAAGAGAGAAGTGATGATGTTTTCTTAGAGGGGGGCGTCTCTCAGCTCACCCGCACCCCTCCTCCTCCTCTTCGCGCTTTACCCCCGCCCTCCAGATTTACCATTGGCTGGCCGGAGGCTGTTTTCCTCATGCGATTGGTTGCCGAGTGCGTCGATCACGCGAGCCCCGACTTATTTACCGAATGTATGAGCGAGAGAGGAGCGCATTCTGCTGCCACAGCTGACTGCCGATCGCTGTGCCTAGTGCCCAGTGCCCGGAGGAACAAAGAGGAGGCGACAGGCATCAAAATTACATGTTTTCGCCTTTTTTACGTCGCTGAAACGACACAGGTGCAGCGAGAACGCGAGATGAGGCACGCGGTCGCACCGGCAGAAAACGTGGAAAATCATTCGTTTGCGGTGACAGGCTTGTTCAAGATATGCACCCATTGTGAGCGGCTGGGCAAGAAGGTAAGAGAAAGACGAGAGGGGGGTAGAAACAGGAAAAAAAAGAAAAGGCAGCGAAAGGCAGCTGTCGGTGAGCCTGCTCCGGTGATCTAAGCCGGGATTTCTCTAGCTTATGTGGCGTTTAATTTTTTGTTTAAAAGCGACGTTTTCCTCTTTAAAGAACGAGCTGCAGTGCAGCCTTTTGTCCGGGCTTGTTTGCGACTCGGGAGTTATAGATCATCTGAACTAAGAAACCCTCCGTGGAGTTTGGTTTCTTTGCTCATTTTGAGTTTCTGGAAGTCGACCTGTGAGTTTGACGTGTTTTAAAACGAGTGTCACTGCCGATTAATGTGCAATTAGTGGTCATTCATTCATTGGCTTCATTGTGCGCTGCGGGACAGTGTCCGCTGCTAGACATGTCTCGGCAAGCAGCGGAAAGTTACAGGGCATAAAGGAGGCAGTGCAAGGGTTTCTATTGTGTTTTTAACTTTGAATCCGAGCAGACCGACGCGCTTTGTGTGTTGGGTATCCCATCAAAGGTGAATTGGGGTCAATGTATTTTTTGCTTTTAAGCGTAAATTCTGCTCCTGACACTGACAATAGTTGCGAGAAGCATCCACAGTCTGAACTCGGATATTAAACTATTTCTCTGCAGGTTTACTGGTGTCAAACATTTAAAGAAAGTCACTCTGGGTTCTCACACTGCTTGGGTTAAAAATTGGTGACTGCAAAAGTGAGAAGTGGTGCTCGGTACTGGAGGTTTATCTGCTCTGTTTTGCGTTGAGATTTAAAAGCCTTGTGTGTTTCTCTCTCCCTCTCTTGTTTTGCAGGACTTGGGAATACGGATCCCAAGACCTCTGGGTAACGGACCAAGCAGATTTATCCCTGAAAAAGAGGTATGAGACGGACTGTAACCTCACTTCAGACCTCAAATATGAAATTAAGAGAAGAAGCAGCTGGTTTATTTATGTCCTCTTTGACTAGATCCTCCAAATCAGTAAAGTGGACTCCAGGACTCAATCGATATTTGAGGATGCGTTTGCAGCCCTCGGCCGCCTGGATAACATTTCCCTCGTGATGGGTTTCCATCCACAGTACCTGGAGAGTTTTCTCCGGACGCAGCACTACCTGCTGCAGATGGACGGACCCCTGCCTTTGCACTACCGACACTACATCGGCATCATGGTATGGCCAGGTTCAGCCTCTGACGTTCTCAGAATAAAACCAGGTCGACTTCCTCTCTGTGCAAAGTCGTAAATCTCGCTTTTTCACATGTCTTGCAGGCAGCAGCCAGACACCAGTGTTCCTACTTAGTCAACCTGCATGTCAACGACTTCCTTCAGGTTGGGGGAGATCCCAAGTGGTTGAACGGCCTCTTTGAAGCCCCGCAGAAGCTGCAGCAGCTCGGAGAGCTCAACAAAATCCTGGCCCACCGACCGTGGCTTCTCACCAAGGAACACATTGAGGTGAGAAGACAGGCAAGGTCTACAGGGGTGGATGTGACAAGTCTGATGTAACCAGCTGAGATCATGGGTGGAGGCTAGAGTATAGCTGCAGCTGTAGGATTTGGACAGATTGGAGGGTTTTAGCAGTAGAGGTGTAGTGACCGAGAGAGGAGAGCAGATCGAGCGTGATGGGAGAGAGGCTTTAATTTGAAACTGAAGGATGAAAACATATTTTCCACTTCTTGCTTGAAAGGTCAGCGATATTGAAGTCATTATTTGGCTTTCATCACTCACATATTCCCCCCCCCCTCCCCTTCTCAGGGTCTTCTGAAGGCCGAGGAGCACAGCTGGTCTCTGGCAGAGCTAATCCATGCCGTGGTCCTGCTCACACACTACCATTCCCTCGCCTCGTTCACTTTCGGCTGTGGCATCACACCCGAGATCCACTGCGACGGTGGGCACACGTTCAGACCCCCTTCCCTTAGCCAGTACTGCGTGTGCGACATAGCCAATGGCAACGGTCACGCTAATCACCATGACGATTTGCTCGGCAATCAGGTAGGCGACTGCAGTGTTTGTGCAGAGAGATAAATGGTGATAAGACTTCAGAGGTTAACCCCGACTATGCATTCTTAAAGGACATGTGCGGTGAGGTGGAGGTGCTGATGGAGAGGATGAAGCAGCTGCAGGAGTGCCGCGACGACGAGGAAGCCAGCCAGGAGGAGATGGCAACCCGCTTCGAGAGGGAGAAGACGGAGAGCATGCTGGTGGTCACATCAGAGGACGAGGAGTCAGCCCCCCCGAGAGACATCTCGCGCCACTTTGAGGACCCCAGTTATGGCTACAAGGACTTCTCCAGGAGAGGGGAGCAAGTACCCACGTTCAGAGCGCAGGTGCACATCAGATGCAACACTCATGATTTGTGGGGTGAAAACACGGTGTGGTCTGTGCTACTGTTACTGACTTATTTTCTTTATTGTTTTTGCAGGACTACAGTTGGGAGGACCATGGCTTCTCTCTGGTCAACCGACTCTATCCTGACGTCGGACAAATGCTGGACGAGAAGTTTCACATGGTCTACAACCTGACCTACAACACCATGGCTACACACAAGGACGTGGACACCAGCATGCTGCGCAGGGCCATCTGGAACTACATACACTGCATGTTTGGCATCAGGTCAGACACTTGAGCTCTTTCTTACACAATGTTCAGGCAGCTCTGTGGCCTCATTACTAACACCACTGCTATGTCTTATTCAGGTATGATGACTATGATTATGGAGAGATCAACCAGCTCCTGGACCGTAGCTTTAAGATCTATATTAAGACCATCGTGTGTAGTCCTGAGAAGACCACCAAACGAATGTATGAGAGTTTCTGGAGGCAGTTTCAGCACTCCGAGAAGGTGAGATTTAAAGGGTGGATTGACTGATTTGATCTTGTAGTTGCTCAGTGAAGTGCAGCCTTCTAATAACTTTTTTTCTTCTTCTTCCCCTGTAGGTTCACGTTAATCTGCTTCTTATGGAAGCGCGAATGCAAGCAGAACTGTTATACGCTCTGAGAGCGATCACTCGCTACATGACATGAAATGCTCTGGGCCTTGTTCTCATTGTCCCATTTTTATTTTATTTTTTCTTTCTTTTTAAATTTTACAGTCATCATTGCTGGGACATTTAAATAAAATACATCAAAAATGGGGAGGGTGGGGGGATGTTCAATTAAAATTGTGGAAGAGATGCATTGAAGAGAGCCCGGTGTTGTGACGAGGCTTTGCTGGCTGGATGTTGAGAAGAAGATCAGAACAAATGGAGAGCAAGAAAATGACTGTTGGGAGAAAATCTCAAACTACAGAAGTGGATCCACAAACTGTTTGTTGCCTGCAGTGCCAAAACTGACCAAGAGAGGGCAACCTAGAGCCAACTCCTGCCCTGCAACACCGGAGGCATCCGGGGGACTAATTTCAGTATTGCAGCGTACGGCAACCGAGGTTGCCAATCTCACCTGTTTCCTGGTGGAGTGAATACCCAGAAAGAAAAGCTGTGCAGCCAGAAACAGTCTGCACTTTGATTCTGTCGTTACTGTTATGTGTTTTAGTTTCTTGAAAACTTTTTTTTTTTTTTTTGTATTACGAGAAGTTGTTGTCCTTGTGGTTGCTGTTGGCGGTAACTGGAGATAGACACAAACTTTTTTTTTTTTTTTTTAAAACGTGTGCCTGAACTATCCAGCACAGTGTGCATACGTGCTGATGCTGCTGCTCCCATGTTGTATTCAGTGGGGTCATATTGATCCCCAAAATCACCTCCCCACCCCCCACTATATGAGCCCCTGTCCATTACAAATCCACTGCATTACACCCCTTCCTTCCTCTACCTTGTAGCTAAATTTCTAATGTCAATGTAAGCTAATCCGAAAGTATGTGTGGAAAATAAGAACACTGTCTGAGCCCTGTGTGTGTGTGTGTGTGTGTGTGTGTGTCTCTTTCACAGAGATGATGGAGAGAAAGAGGGGGGGGGGAGTACGTCTTGGAATTTCACGTCTCAAAAAAAAAAATAAGCGAGGCACTTTGAAGGAAGACTTCTTGCTTCTGCTGTAGCTCTGGTTTTGTGACAACTTTTTATTTGTTTTGTTGATGATGCCTTTTTTCTTTCTTTTTTTTTTTTTTTTTTTTTCTTTTTTTTCCAGTGAGGGGGAGATGGGGAGGGGGAAAAAAGCTAATCAAAAAGAAAGTTAAGACACCAGGTTTTCAGGAGGGATTTGCTTCCAGTTCCTCTAACCACACCTTTTTGACTGTCTTCCGCTTATCCCAGCTGCCTGGTTGCCCTAACACTTTTTAAAAGCTTTGGATTGTGAATTTTACCAGTAAATGAATACCTCTTCTGTTCTTCTCTATTAAACATACAAGAAGTGCTCTTTGGTGAGCATAGACGACGTTGTTGTTGTTGTTGGGCTGCCGCGCTCCCCGCTGCTCGGGGACCTGCCTAGCCTACACCTGGTGGACTGCGCTCGATAATGTTCGAACGCAAGAGATTGTAGCTGTGCTTATTTCCCCACTGGGGAAGTCTAACCAGTGCAAAAGCAGCTTTTTTTCCCCCTCTTTATTTTGAACAGAGGTGTGAAACCTCTACCGTTTGTCTTGTTTGTTAATCATTTCAGTACTGCATTCTTCTGAGGGTGGATTTGAGACAGGTGACGGATGAATGAGTGACTATGATGATGAGGACTCTGATGAAAAAGGAATGGTACATTTGGAAGTGTTTTGAGAGGAGGTTTTCTGACTGTCAGTTACTGACACTTTTTATATGGAAATATATGAAAAAGATTAAAAAAAATAATAAACTAATATTAAATTGTTGTGTATCATTTTGTAGCTTTTTCCCAAAACAATGTATCGTGTATTTCTCCATCAGTAAGATTGTATAAAATGTGGAGAAATGCAGTTCAGGAATCAAACATTCAAAGCACAGTCGGTGTCACCATCAGTTCACAGCTCGCTCAGATGCACAAGAACAGGAAATTAAATTGCCCGTGGTCATTAGTAAACATATCTGAGCGCTGTTATGCAAAAGATGACTTGTGAATTGACACGAGAGATTTACTTGCTCTCTGATAATGAAGCTGACTTCACCAACAGCATGCTGGACCCAGGGGTATAGTTCAGTCTGCTGTCATTACTGTCTAGGGACTTTGATGTGAATTTCATTTTACTGTATCAGAAGTGTGTAGTCCCCCTTCCTGTGGTGCGGTTGAGGCTTAAAGTTTCTCTTTGCTCCCGACCACCTTTTGTCTCGATTCAAAGGAGGGAATTTCCTTGTAGGTCAAGTTACCTCACTTTCCTGTTTGCCTCCGTGTCACACCTTTCTGGGAAAAAGTGTTTCGCTTTCCAGATGAGGCTGGAAGTCTGTCGGAAGTTCAGGGTGATTCCTGTCAGTCGAGGCCGCAGAAGTCTGTCAATGTAAAATCACCAGCAGAAACTCAACGTTCCTCCCCACTGGCCTTTACATTTTCCCCCACAATAATACAAAACAGGAAAGGTGTTTTTTTTTTTGTTTTTTTATAAATCAGACAGCCACCTGTTGCTCATATCATGCTGAGAAATCCTATGTATAGAACAATGTTTGCTGTCATTTCTGGTTATCGGATTGTTTTACCAGGTTTTGAAGCATTAGCTTGTTTTGTGGTTGTTCAAGGTCACCATCGTGGGAAAACTGGGGTGGGAGTTCTACATTAAGTGCCGTTTCTGATTTGTTTCAATGTAATAACAGTGTGATTTTTGAAATGCTGTATGTTTAGGCTACTTGGTGTAACTCTGTAAGCACTGCCTGGCCCCATATCTGTGTCATAATAAAGCAAATGTGTTTTCTGCTCTTCATCTGCTGTGCTTTTTTTATTAAGTACAAGTTCAAATGCCACACAATCCACAAACGAAAAAAGATTTACACATGAGGTAAATTCCATGTCGGTCAGCCGTTGTTTTTTTAAAACATTATGTACTGTACAATACAGTGCAAAGCCAGTCATATGAGCGTGCAAAGAGGTGTTTTGAAATTATTCTTGTGCGTGATAAACCTTAAAAGGTTTGTGGAACTGAAAGTGGATGATATGCAAATATGTCCATATACGTTCCAAAGTATAAAGGGCTCAACAAATATCACATCCACACACCACTTCTTTTTTTTTTTTTTTGTTACAGTTTAGATTAAGCCTGCTTGCTATATTCTGGATTATTACCTGTATGATTAGATAAAATTAAAACCTGAGACATTTTATGCATTTACAGTATATGTGTTTCATATTGGCCTGTCTGGTCTGCAGCCTTTAAACTTTACTGGCTGTAACTTCACCCTTGGTGGAAAACATGACGGTTATGTGGAGCATATTCAGCATATTTAGAGGGTTACAGTGCAGGAGTCGGCTGAGCTCATTTCAGCTCTGGTCACGCTTGTTTTCTGCACATGAAGGAAACTGCAAAACTTTACAGCCAGCTATACAAAGCTGTAAGTGGTGGCGTGTTAGATTGTTTATAAATTCAGTTTTTGCTGACACAAAACTCCACGCCCGACTCTCTCAGGCTGTCAGATCTGCAGACTGGAGCATCTTCATCAGTTTTTGAGCGACAGGTAGGAACTCTAACTCCCAGCATGCTCTGTGGAAGTCTCTCAAGTCCTTGTTGTCTGTCCAATTTAGAGCCTCCTCCTCATCTAAGGAATTTGTAAAGACAAGAGTGTGAGACGGGAAGGTGGGGATACGTGTAGCCCTCCCTTCCCCATGAAGGCCTCTGGTGTGAATCGGACATGTTTCCAGTGTGTCCCTCCCTTCTTATGCAAAAGGAGGGATACACTTTCTCTCCTTATGTGTGAATTTTTACTAACACCAACCTAAGTATGCAGCGAGCATCTCCAGCAGCGATTCTCTCTCCTCGGTGTATAATACTTTCTCTGAGCTGCCACCAGTCAGGTTCCACACGGCCTTGCAAATCTGGCCCGCCAGCTGCCAATCACCCAGTCCAAAGTCTCTCAGACAGTCCACCAGCCTGATCACACGCACACACACAGAGACACACATCATATGACTTTTACTAAGCGGATTCACATGACCTAGAGGTTTGTGAACTCCACTTCACTGGCTCTTTATCTAAAAAGAGGATAAAGGGTGGGTATACAGGGGAAATAAAAAGTTGGAGAAGTGCTCGCTTAGGAAAGTGTGAAGAACTGCACCACAGCCTCATAAATCCAAATTTACACATCTGTATGTTTGGACGAATCTGACAAGGATAAACATGAAAACTAGATAATCAGGAACATCTTATTTGTAGCTGTGGAGTTGTTCGTCAGTTAAAGACCAGAAACCCCCACATCCCTCCCCCCAAAAAACAAAATCCCAAGGAGGATGTCTTCTGTGTACATAAAGTTAGTAATATTTTTCATAAATAAGCCTTAAATAAATAACGTCTTTCTTCTTTTACGCTCGCTTTTTTAAGCCCTTTGGAATTAACAGGTAATCTGACCACCTAGTCTGACATGTTGAATTCAATTAGCAGTAAAATAGTGACTCTAGTGATGCACAGTGATGATGATCACAGCATGCTTTCATCCTTACTTGGCAGAAGCCCCCTCCACCATGAGACAGACCCTGCTGGGAGGATCCAGAGCCAGGTTGGTGAGGACCCCGCAGGCTGCAAAGCACATCTCGTTGCTCTTTGAGTCGAGCAGCGTTACCACAAACTGGTGCACTTAGGAGGGAGGAAGATGGCAGCGTGAGTGAGGGAGTGCACCAAGACAAGGAGAGGCAAAGATAAGAGAGCCGCTATCACCAGAGTTCAGTGGACATGCTGACTGTAGCTGGCCTTGCAGATAAGTGTAGCCTAAACATGACATAATCATATGCAGAGGTGGGTCCTGCGTCTAGGTTTTCTGCGCCTGATGTGTTAAAGAGGGTTTCCTGCAGTAAACTTAGGCTCACTGTCTCTGCTCTACCTGCAAGAGTATGAAAACTGCATTTTCATGCACCTTTGTTTCGCATGATGAAGTTCCGAACGTCCTCGTAATGCGACAGGTTTCCGTAGACGCGAACGGCCTCGAGCATGGCTCCTGTACTAGAGCTGAGCAGCAACTTCAACATCACTGTGGAGCAAAGAAAAAGAAAGAGCTGGAACTTAAAAAAATTAATAAATCTATTTTGTCCTCTCTTGGCTTGCCGGCCTTACGCTTTGCAATATGGAGCTGATTGTGTTTGATGGCAGAAGTCTCTTTCTGGTAGAAGGACAGGTTGTTGATGACAGCGGCCACATTGACTAGCAGCTCCTCGCTCTCCTCCACTGTCCTCAGCTCTGTGGCACCAACCCCCCGACACACACACACACACACACACACACACACACACACACACACACACACACACACACACACATCAGGAACACACCTTTAAAATCTACTTCCACAGTTTAAATATGAAAAAATATCTGCAGAACTAAAGTGACCAGCCTGTGAGTTTTGCCTTTAGCTCTGCTGAACTAATGTGACAGTGACATTATGATTAAAAATAACTGCAACCTGTAGTTAATTTTGGCGTCCTACAGTTGGTTTGATCGTGAGCTGGCACACAAAGGTCAAAGTGACTGGGTGCAACCAGCCATGACACCACGAGCAGCCTGAAAACAAGGCCTGCTCCCAATATAGCAGCAGATGTCTTGTGCTTGGTCATAAATCGTGAATATTGCGGTTGCGCTGTCAACCGTCTCCTGCGTCACTCGGAAGATGGTTTCTGGCTCTGACTGGAAGCGCCGCTTTGTACCCTGAAAAACCCTTTAATGTTGAGCGCCTCGACCCGTCGCGATCTTTATCAAAACAGGACATCAATCAGCCCAATCTGCTCTTTCATTCTAAGCTCAGATTTTGTCTTCACCTTTCAGTAATTTTTTGTTTCTGCCTTGAGTTGCTTCTCTCCACAGTCTCCCTTACCTGATGTGCCCCTCGATCTAATAATGTTCCCACCTTTTTTTCACTAGTTTGACCTCTGTGTTGTTTGTGAAAATTTGACTGTGTAGGAGGCAGGCAGCAGAGAATACAGAGCTTAACGCCCACCCGTGTATCAGTTCAACCTGTCCTGAAACCATCTAACCACATGGGAGATATTCACACACGCAAACCGAGTCGGCTGTGAGATGTCACAGAACATCCTGCTCATGCAGTGAAGCGCTTCTTCTGTCAGCCTTAAAAAAAGAAAAAAGAAAAAGAAGAAGAAGAAGAAGAAAAAAACAGGTAAACCGAAAGAGGATGTGCTGCACAGCAAACAGAAAGTACTGAGAGGAAACTGAATGATGGAATGAACAGACAGATATGGAGTGTGTTTTTGTGTTTTTGACAAAAGTCACGTCTTGTTCCCAGCACAAGGGAAGTGGTTGTGTACCTCGTAGGTACTTAAGGTGCACTAAGCCGCTATATTTAAACCTATCAGAACTCCAGATGTTTACATGCTGCTTTCGTTGCGTACCATGAAAAAACAGGCCACTGTTAAGCCTGCTGACTGCTTCATCTTCTTAACCTAATAAAGGATCTGACTTAAAGAAGATGAAGCTGCTCCTTCCTTGTGCTCACCAAGCGTCTCCATCAGAAGTCGAATGCAGGCTGTGTCTGCGGCCACAGGTGGACCCACGGCGGGGTGGATGCACATATTCGCCAGCACCCTGACCAGCTTCACCAGCACGTCGTCAGCCACCTGTGGTCTGACGGGAGGAGAGGCTCCTTTCTGCACGACTGTGTGAGGTGGCTCATCTTTTCGCTGGTAGATGTCGTACAGCCGGAGAAGCGTGCGCATGCAGCCGTCGCACTGAAAGAGCTCCAGCCGAGGCTCATCGCTTTTGGCCGTGAGATTCCCGAGGGTGAAGAGGAGGCGCACGATGAGATCCTGCGAACAAGCGGTGGAGATCGGTGGCGAAACATCAGTTTATGGATTTAGATTTATTAGATGTTTGCTTAGCGTTTTAAACTACTTCCTGGGGTTACCGGCTTTGTATCAATGAATCTGCTTACATTTCATGCTTAGTGCATTTTTATTATTGCCTTTTTATTTCTTAGAGACCAGCAGGATCTGTTGAACTGTCTAAACTGACACTGTAAAGGTTTGGCTTTTTTAATAAAGACCACTAATCTTTATTCTAATCACCTGATTCTCTATCAGCAATGTTTGATTAGTACATTTATATTCGACTATCCTGAGCAGAAGGAGGCTGATTGTGTGTGACACCACCTACAGGAAAGCAAGCCTCTCCTGTCATGCAGCACGAGCACCTGTGTCACTCAGAGTTTAGAGTTGTGTAGTTGGTTTGACTGCGATTACACAATATTTTGTCAATGAGTTACCACGCTTATGGAAAACAACTACGTCACACCCTGCAGAGCAGGTGAGAGCGCACTCGTGTCTCCCATTAACGTGTACCGAAACTGATATGAGGACGGGACGTGGTGTCCCAGGATGTTTATTACATGTTTTGCTATCGAGTGTGTTTATGTTTATGCGTGTGTGTTTGTATCTGTGGGTGTCAGTTTATTCCAAATGAAATGAGAAGCACTTGTGAGTCGAGTCTAGTTGCCAAAGTCCTACATTCATCCTCTCCTCTTCCCTCCATATTCTCTTCCTTCCTTCCCTAGTCTAGCTTCCCTTCCACTTCTGTATCACTTCTTCTGCTGTGCCTATTCAATCTTTTCTTCTCTCCTCCATTTTCATGTCTTTTTGCATACTCATCTGGTTTATTAAATATCTAATCAAACACACAGCAGAGGATAAATTTTTATAGTAATAAACAATTCATATAAAACAAGTAAACAGTCCAGTAAAGATGCATAAGTAACTTAGTGTAAAAAAAAGCACACAGACATGCTTACAAACAAGAAGAACACCTCTCTTTAATTCTGAAAAGTCTCAAGCACACACAAGAACACAGAGGAGGCTTGTGGACTCACCTGTTTTTGGTGATGTTTGCTCAACAGCTCTAAAAATAGCTGGTAGCAGTCGGGGGTCTGAGCCAGAGCGAGGCGGCACTCAGAATATGAAGAAAGTTTACTGAGGGTGAGAGGGGACAAAAAATACCATAGACCACTCCACTCAACTCACTGCCCTGCTAGGGTGACTAAATATGGTGACATTAAATCAACATGGAAAATGCATTGATAGATCTGAGCTGATTATTTTCATTATCACGAGAAAACACATTTTTAAAAAGCTAATTTTGTTTATTTTAGACTTCATGAATTACTCTTATCACATATTGATAAACTGATGAGGCTGGGGTTACAGAAAGAGAAAGATGGGGGCGCAAATTGTGCTTGATTGCTTCAGTTTGGCGTTGGTATGAAGATCAGAGAGTACTCAGTCTGTATTATCCTCTACGACCTTTCAAAAGGTTGTCAAAATATCACAGACCATTTATTCCAAAGTAGATTTGCAGTTACCATTATATACAGTGTATATCCACTCACTAGACACTTTATTAGGTACACTTTGCTTGTTCAAGAACATATTTTGATGCTTTGAGCTTTGTGACATTGTGCATTTAAGGAGGTATATATAATTAAGACACTGAGTTGCTGTCATGTGATTGATTCGATATTTATGTTAACAAGCAGCTGGACAGATGCACTTAATGAAGTGACCAATGACTTTAACTCCACCCATGAGCATGTTTTTTTTTTATCATATGTCCTAAAAATCTATGTACTTTCCTGAGGCTCCACCCCTGTGTATGTAGTAAGCATGATTTAGGTAAGCAAGTTCAATACCTGTAAATTCTGGAAATGTTCATGCAGACATCCTGATCTTCACAGTGTTGCTGCAGCACTTGGCAAAGCGCTGGTAGTATGGAGAATGAAACAAACAGTGGACGGGAATCAGAGAGGTCGGCAAGATTCCTCAGGATCGTTGTCAGCTACAGGGGTGAAAAGACAGAAAAGGGTCCAGTGTAGCTTAGCAAAGAAAAATACACCTAGTACATTAATGGTTTGTAATAAGGCCAGAGCTTTTGACGCTGGCCTGTTCATCATGGTGTACAACATAGCAAATGGAAACTGCCCACTGCTGATCAGGATATCCTTCACTGCACACACTGAACAACTGTTTTCTTTGATCTGTGCAATATCTCTAAAATTAGAAACATCCTGCTTCAGAGTGAGTGAAGCTGAAACACTAACTAACACTACTTTTGGATTGGACTATTGTAATTCATAATGATCAGGCTGTTCTGAAAGTTCAGCGACAAGCCTTCAATTGATCCAAAACACTGCAACGAGAGTAAGATCACAGGACTTCAGGACAGGACAGGATTTCCTGCAATGCACTGAGCACTTCCTCTCCACTCACTTCTTTTCACTCCATCCCCCCAACCGGCCACAGCAGATGGCCACAGCAGAAAAAACCTCCTTGCGCTGCAGGAGGTTTTTCCTGTTAAAAGGGAGTTTTTCATTCCCACCGTCACTAAGTACTCGCTCAAAGAGGGTCATTTGTTTGTTGGGGTTTTCCAAAGAACATCCTACGGTCTTTACTTAAGAGTTGAACTGAAGTGCGAAAATAAATCATTCTATGATAAGAGGGAAACAGTCAAGTAAACAGCAGTACCGAAACTACCCTGAAAGTCATCGTGTGCTTATTTCGCCTTCATCAATGAGTCATGTTAGATATGAAATGAAGAACGGGTTGACAGTTTGTTTACTTGGGCCAGTTTCTGTGGTTGGCAGCAATAATTTTCAGTGCAGTCAAGCAAGCTGTTACTTGTGCAGCACAGAATACACTGTAAAAAAAATTGTAATATAAAAGTATTTCACTGTGTATTTTACAGTGTTGTACCGTTCTTCTAGAATATCATGAAATTTACATAAATAGACTGTTTTTTTACATTTCAAATGTAAATTAACGTAAAATCACTGTAAATGTAATAAAACATAATTTTCTTGTTTTTTAAATGTATCTGTCTGTACATATGCATATTTAGATACAGTCACAAATGCATTATAATTTCACAAATATTTGTCCGTTATTTGAAAGATTGAACTGTTAGATTTAAATGTAATGCTATGGAAAAATACATAAAATGATTCGTATAAACTTTTTTTACACACGAGTCACTCACGAGTTGGCAGTTCGCCTTGTAATCAGAAGGTTGCCGGTTCGAGCCCCGGCTCGGACACTCTCGGCCGTTCTGCCCTTGGGCAAGACACTTCACCAACCGCCTACTGGTGATGGCCAGAGGGGAATTATAAAGTGGAATTGTAAAGCGCTTTGAGGGTCTCATAAAGCGCTATATGAATGCAATCCATTATTATTTAAACCAACTGTTAAATGTATATTTCTGTACATTTAAGTGTTATTATTCATATTGCCGCATTCATTGACCTTGTTTATAGGTAATTTCATTGTTTAGTCACATTAAATTGTTCCTAATTTAATGTTTAAAAGCACTTGAAAAAGGCAAAATCCCATGTAAAATTAGGGCAACAAACTGTATTGTCATTACTGAAAATAACTGTATTTTCATGGAAAAGTTATTTTCTGTTATTTTCTGGTATTATTTTGGTGCCCCAGCTGCCAGAATATTACTGTTTTATTCTCATGGGGCACCTTAAATACCAGACATTAACCAAAACATTTGATAGTGGAAAAATCTGCATCAGTCAATAAACTGGTACATTTTTTACTGATATGGTTTAACATCTTAGTTTTAAGGAGAAATATATATGGAACAAAAATTTGATGCTTTTTAATTGGTACCTGTACGAGGATGTGGCCTGCTATGGGGAGGTTGGTTTCTTCTACAATGCAGAGTTTCTGGATGAGTTTCTGTGCCACACATATGAAGTTTTTATCCAGCAATATTCTGAGGATTTCAGTGTTTCCAGAGAGAAATTTCAAAGTTCCAACACAATATAGGATTGCTTCTCCAGATGCAGACACATGTTCGTTGCTTAGCATCCTCAGCAATGAATCTAGACACAGAAAACATTTGATGTTATCATCCCTATGGAGATTCATGCATTTACTGTATAAGACATGCAGTCGTATTTGTTCACAAAACTTCAGACCAGAGTTACAGAATAGATAACCACTATGTTGTCTACTGTTCCATCCTGACCAATGAGTGAGTTGTTCTGGAAGAGGATGTCGTTGCTTTCAGTGCGGCTGATCTGGAAGATGAGTTTACAGATGTTGAGCAGGTTGTTTCCACTGACGCACAGCTGGGGAGAAAAATACAAAAGAATTCACATAATTTTTTGTATAAAATAGTGGGGGTGCTTTGTGACAGAGATAAGTAGGAGACATGCTGGCATGCACACACCCCCGCAGACAACCTTGCAAACTCACAGATGACTCACAGCAAGGCACAGCTGGGCAATGTGCATGTTGAGCTGGGCATAGTTGAGGTCAATGAGTCGGAACAGCGTTCGAAGTATCCCTGACCTCTTCTTACAGCGCCGACCGAGCATGTCCGCCTCTGCCAACGTGCCGTGGAGGCGGTCACACAAATCACACAGGCGGTCAACCGAGCCCTCGGAACCACCTTGCATTGCAGGCAGAGCACACACATTTCAAAAAAACAAAGTCAAGTTTAGGACAGCATGTGCAAAACTCACAATAAGGGCAAACATGTATTTGCACAAATATAGATCAGAGATGTTTTTGTGTCTTTCATATTGTACATTACACAGGCTCTCCTGTTCGTGTGTGGTTGCGAATCAATAATCCTTTGGTCAGCAGAAAATGAACATTTTCCTTCCTCTTCCAAGAAGCAGCTTTGGATTTCATTGGTAATATGCAGGGGAACAATTCAACGACAGGCAGCTGTGCTCTTTAGCGGAGGAAGAGAAAGGGTGGAGTTTTTCCTTGTTTTCGAGGTAAAATAAATGTTTTCCCAGCATAAATAGCAGGGCCTGGCCATGTCTAAAAAAGGTTAGACCCAGTCTAACACTCAGCACTTCACAGCAATATCTCTTTCTGAATCTGAAAGGTGTTTTATGCATGCACCAGAAGGCCCTTGGTACAATAAATATTTAATATTTATCTTCCAAATGAATTTTCCATTAAATTTGTAAAATGTTAAAATATTTACAGCCATAGATTTAATTTTACGGCTGTCAGACTCCAGTTGCAGGCAAGACAATTCTGTATGAATGCCAAGCATAACATTACTCTTTCTTTCTTTGGCAGCTAAAATGACAGTACTTTTTCATTTTGTGAGACTCTATGCATGACTATCTGCCAGTGTTGAAAAATCTATTTTTTAGCCTGCTGGCTGTAAATAAAAAGTGCTCTTGAAACACAGGAAATAGGTATGAATATGAGAAGGTTAGCACAAATAAAAAGATAAAAATAAGTGCCTTAACCACAATCCACTTTAGATTGGCTCTGGAAACATTTAGGCCCAAAGGATTATATATAATATTTTGATGATTTGAATGCATTTGAATGTTCTATATTTGGACCGTGTTTCGGGGGTTTCTTTATTACACTGGCCACAATACCTGCAGCCGCACTCTCTAGTTTCTGAAGGAGAGGAATGATCACATTATTCCACATCAGTGACTCTGCATCCTCCTCTTTGTTGCCCTTGTTGTCTCCACGCTCTGGCTCTGAAATGTGCAGAGAGAATTGCAGTTAGCCAATTACCACCTCAGAAAACAAAAGCGACAACCACAGTTCACAAGTTCACAGTCTTAAAATATAACAGCAGGAAGTTTGATGCCACAGTGAAAAGGTCACCATCCACAGCTAGACTTCCTCTGATTTGTTGGCATGTGGGCATGTGAGCTTGTGCACGTTAACTTGTGCAATCTCTTGCACACAGTGTGCCTGTTTTGGTTTTTTTTTTGCTGAATATTTGCATAACCCTTGCTTGGTGTGATGCAGGAAGCTGCGGCTGCACGAACCAAAACTTCTCTAACCTATTGGCTGACTGCCTGTCATGGTAAAACTTGCGCCCTTAGCAACAACACCCCAATCAAAGTTTATTTCTTTTGCACGTGAAACCTTTCTGGGCTCAAGAGTAAACAGAGAGATTTCATATTTAGATCTGTTTGTACTAATTTTGCTCTACGTTGTGCCTGAGTGAAACCAAGTACATTTCTACTTTTACACGCTGTTCAAAATGTACCATTTGTGTTTATTATGCACAACACCATACAAAACAAGACAGTGAGCTTCATTTAGTGGATGTGAACAAACCTGTTGTGCTATCTTCTTTGCAGTCTTTGGGTCTTACTGCTGAGTCCACATCACTCTGCACTATTCTGAAAAACACACAAAGAGCCTGACTATATGGGGTTTAGGAAAATACACAAATAAGAGTTAAAATGAAGAGGCTCTAGGGGCTCTGGCTCTTAAAAAATAAAATATATTTATTGTTATTATTTATTTATGTTTTGCTGATTTTACACCCTGTGAACAAAACGTAAGGTCTATTTTCATCAACAAGCACTGGGTGTCACTGTTGCAACAGTGATTGAAACGTGTATAGGCTCCGCTGCTTCACTGTATTTGTGTGTCTGTGCATGTACATTTGCACCCATGCAGATATGTGTGTATCCGAAAGTTTCTGTGTGGCCACTTTTTAATTTTAATTTTGTTTGTTTGTCTAGAGGTGTGCTGCTTTGCAGGATGCACAACTGCAATCCCCAACAGACAGGAACTAAGATCTCAGCTTTGTGGGCAGTCTGGTTAAAGGTGTTCATGATTTGTCACTGCGAGCCGTCTCCAAAACCTTACAATTTGTTCTGCAATAACCGTAATGTGCTCCCAAAAACACGCCCAAGTGTCATGCTGTGTTATGTGTTGTGGCTCGCCCTTGCATGTCACTCTGATCTGAGTGTCTGCATTTAAACTCTGCACTGTTCCACCCACACTCAAAGATAATGACTCAGTGCTCCAGTATATTCTATATTACATGACAGGTGCCGTTTCTTTTGACCAATTAATACCTAATGACTTTCTGTAACTGTAAAGATTTACTGCAAAAAGCACACAAATATGTAAAGAGGGAATAGCTTTAAAAACATTGAAAGGTGTAACCACTCCTGTAGAAGACAAAAACAAGGACTGAAGCTTCTGTAATATCACAGGCTAACTCTCAGGATTTGTTATTTCTTTGAACTTTTACATACAAGTGACAGATATGAGATTTGGCAGATATTATCTTCTCATTTCAATGAAGAATCCTCAGAAGAAACTTGTTTGATGCTCTTTGATTAATATACAGTTTTGGGGCATTATAATATAGCACACTCACCTTGGTGATTTGATGAATGTTAAAATCTGGCACATGGGGCATATGGAGTAGGGAGTGCTGGCTAGGGTATGCTACAGTGAATGTCAGGGGGCTTTAGCTCTGTATGATAGGATTAAGAGCCCGATAATAAGGCCTCTTTGTGTGATTCGGCATTCTCGGAGACATGACCTCATCCCTGTCTTAGGCCTGGCCAGTGCACTGCAGTCACAATACACGCTGCTGCCAGTCTTGCCCAGATGGGCACCCAAATCTAATAGAGAGCCATTTGGAGCTATAGAGCTCTGGCTTATTGGAGAAAAAGAACCTAGTGGATGTCTAATCTCCCCTATCTTTATATCTCATCCAACTCATCATATTAATCTGTCCAGCTGCGTCCATTTCCACTTGCAGTGTGCTTCTGCCTTGGCTCTATGTGATTTTTCATTGTTCTCCTCTGTCTAATGTCTCTTTTATGTAGTTCCTTGCAACACTAAAGAACTGTGCTTTAAAAACTCTGACCTAGAAAGAATCAAAAAGGGGAAGTCTTCAAGCCCATTTTGTGTAATAATAACATGACCCCGGTTTTCTCACTTGGGACTTCTCTTTGTCAGCAACAAGTTATACAAACATAGCATGTTAACTTGGTATTAGGTAGGAGGTTGAGCTTGAGGCCATGGCCCAGATTTCCTGTAAAAGTGTTTTATGGTCTGCTCACCCCCCTTCAACTGCCCCACCCAATCGATAGGCAAATGGATTGTAACGACAGCCCCCGACCTCACGGTCAGAGTTATGCCCCTCGTGCTGACACACAGCTGATGAGGTCGGCAAAAAAAAGCAGAGCTTTTAGCCTCTGTGCACTATGGAAATGTAAAAGCTGACATTTGCTAGTAATGACAGATAGAGACAGTTTCGATGGGAAGAAGAAGCTCAACTCGACCAAGATATGGTGTACAGTGATTTTATGAGGGTTTAAAAGGGGTCGCGTGCCTGAAGTTAAAGAATTCATTCTATCTATTTGTTAGTGACCCCACTGCTGGTCTAACTGACTTCAGCTATTCGGCTACAGTTGAACATATGAACAATGGTTGGCCGTGGGTCAAGTAGACGTTTTAAAATCCTTTTACTTCGGACTAAGTTCACGACAAGTTTAAAAGTAATAGTCCCGACTTTTGACTTATTGCCTCATTTACATTTTTCTGCAAACAGAAGAAGTATTCTCCAAGAGATCACAATTTTTAAAAAAGTAAAATACAAAAAATCCTACAGCAAAATAAAAATACTGATAAAGTTAGTCCTTGTAGAATTTAAAAGACATGTACTGACAGTTACAGGGATGGACATTTAGGTACAAAATAAACAACTATACTCATATGAGCTTTACTGACGTATTTGCTGCTTTGATCCTCTGCCCAGTAGTCTGGTTTACTTATGAACCACAACCCAAAGACAATATAAGGAAGAGAGGAAACAAAGCAAGGAGGAGAGGGAGAAGGATTTGACAAAAAGCAAAAAAAAGGGAGGCCCAATCAGCTCAGTGTAGTAATGACTACCCCTGCACCCTTGCATGTCAATAAATCTTAAACTCATTGTCGAACTGTCATTACTGTTAAAGATGGGGAGGGTGGAAGGGTGGAGAGCGAAGGACATAATGTTTCTTCCAAGTGAAACAGAAGAACAGAAAGCGTACCTTTCACTTGCTGTTGTGTGAGGGCCGGGTTTGACAGGACCACTGTAACCTGCGGTGTGGTCTGTACTGGAAAGTTGCTTAGCTGACAGCTGCTTTTGTCCTGGGCCTGCATTCAGTGGCTCTTTCACTGAACACGTGGAAAAGATGTGGCAAGAAGTTATTTATAGCAACGTTTCTATTTCCTTCATTAGGTAAAAGTACAAGTCCCTATTCATACACATTAACACAGTGCACATATACAGTAAATGTATACAGATAAAGGGCTTAGTCACTCTCCATTATCTGTTTTACTGCTCTAAATAGCTGAGCAGTTTTGTACGGAAAGGTTTGAGAGTGAGTAGTCATTTTCCACTCAAAACAGCAGGCGTATATTATGCTTTTTACCAAGCCCCACCACAGAGAATGTAAATCAGGTAAAATGTCAGCATGTGAATGGCTCCATTCATTCCCCTTTCAGAAAACTGCTTCAGCACTCGTGTCTATGCAGGACACGGAGGAAAATGAATGATGTGTTGTTGTTGTTTTTCTATTTATCTTGTACATATTAAACAGTTCCTAATAAACCGGGTTACTAGCATTTCATAGTAAGCACAGTAAGGGTGCTTTTTTTTTTTTTTTTTACTGCGATCTCTTGTACCGTAACTTGAGCTTCATTAACATCTTTTCCCCTCTTCTTTACCATTTCGGTGTCCTTCTAAAGGCGGTAACCTGGTGAGAGATCCAGGTCTGAGGAGGCGTGCTCGTACTCCTGCCCCTGCCAGCCCCCTACGCGGTTTCACTGGGCTAGTAGGAGGTTTGGGTAAGGCTTTGAATGGATTGTCAGCATCACAGGGGACTGAAAACGTTGGCTTCTGGCAAAGCACAAACATCAAGTGCTGAGTATTAGCCAGAGGAAAAATTCACTTGAGACATCAGCACTTTTATAAGCAGAGAAATTTCATTGCATTTATTGCTTCCTTTGCATTTGTTTTTTAAAACTTAAATGCTATTTAATTAGCATATTTAGCATATTTAGCTGGTGCACAGAGGTGTACTGGCCTATTATCCAATTTATTGCTTTGCTTTACAAGTTTATTTATCCACTGAAGATTAGAAGTGTACATACTGAAAATTGACCCTTATTCTGGGATAACCTTCCTTCTTAGACTACAATGCATATTGTGTGTTTATGTGTGATAAGAACATACATGATCCAAAGGAGAGAGGCGAGTCCCTGAACCTGGCCTGGAGTCTGAAGCATCAAAACTTTGAGCATGAAGGCTACAGAGTAAAAAAAGACCCCAACAAAAACAAATGATTACTTTCATCGGAACCACAGTTTATTTTAGATCTTCACAGAAGTGCCATTTCTGACTAACCTAAAAGCAGAAGGTGGTCTGTTGTCACGAATAGATGCGCTCCCAAAAAGTTGTCTATGTCCATCTCTGGGAGTAAATGGCCGATGAGTGGACTGAACTCGTAGGGACTGTCTGACCTCATTTACTATCTCTGCACACGTTTTCCTCAAAGCGTTGCGCCGGGGCATCAAGGGGCTGCAGATCTCATGTTTCGTCTCTGTAGAGGCCATATAGGCCTAACTGACATGTGTCAAGAAAGTCCACTGATGATTAAATAATGTCATTATATGTATAGATACAGGGTGTATCACTAATGGATACCCAGAGGTACATGTTACCTTAAAATGAACAGTAGGTGTAAAAGAAGCAATGCAAAATCACCCTAAAGCCCTGTATTCAGTCTCACTTCAGTAAAAGTATGGAGACAAAATGTAAAGCATCAACAGCAAAAGCAGTAATTACCACAGCACAAGGATCCTCCTTACTGGATTATTGTTATTATAAATTAAGATCCCTGTTATTTTATAAATGAATCGGTTAATTGGTGAATTAATAAAAACATCAGAATAAAATCAATGATTCCCATGAAAACTGGCCCATGCTGATAAACTGAAACACTTTCACTTATACATAAAAAAACTAAATGGAGAAAAGAAAAACTTAAGAGGAACTAATTTTAAGCCACCTAATTAGCTAAACTATAATTGTTGTTAAATTACAAAATTCACACTAATTGTTTCTGCTCAGCTAAATGATCAGCTTTAACTAGATTATCGTTAACGCTTCATCATATTTTATTAGACTATTCATTTTGTGTGTCCAATCTTTAACTGTACACACCTAGTAGCTAGACCTATCAGATGAATCGCAAACAACAGAACAAAAACCTGCAATCTAAAGTGAAATTTGATGAAGTAATTGTAAACCGCAGGATTAAAGGTAAGTAATCTGTAAGACATACCTTAAGAGTATACTGAAGTAGCCTAAAAGCAGACAAAACCGCTATCAGAAGTGCAGATGGAACCAGGAAAGTACTAAAGTAGAGTTTTTGGTTTTGTTTAGTCTTCTGTGGAAGACTATATATATAAATATATTTACAAATAAATTATAAGTAATTAACTTTAAGATAACCTTTCCCTGAACCTAAAGACAAGCCCTGAGCTGGAAGTTCCTCTGCGCGTTCACGCTCCGTCTCCATGGCGACAAAGTGCCGCTATGGTAGCTTGAACAACAAACCCTGGAAAGAAAATAAGCTAAGCATTCACCAAAGAATACTAAACTGTTTATTTATCCCTGGGAGAGCAGGAAAACCGAGTTATTTATTATGAATGAAAGCCTGAACATTAATTAAACGGTTATTGAAGAAAGCTGGAGCACTTACCGTTCGCCCCTTTAAGGTCCTCTAGGGGTAACAGTGGGGAAAAGCATCAGCCGAGCCCTTAAAGTGGGATTTCACGGCCAAAAGAAAAAGGCAGCGATACCTGAAACTTGCTAAAACTGTTCTCGTTTTTGACAACAAGCTAGCCTGACGGTATCACGTGCACGAGCTCCAGTGAGTGCCCCTCTCTCTCTTCTCTCTCTCTCTCTCCCTCGCGACACGGTGACGCGCCTGCGCATGTTGGGAAGGAAACTGAAGCAAATGCGAGTTTCACTCAGAAATGTGAGGACATATATACATCAGTTGTTACAAGTTTTCCTAACTTAACACGTGCCAATAATTGGACTGATAAGTACAGTGAATTAACTAATGACAGAGGAAACTTGAAAACAATCAAAAGTATTTTATTTATGCAGGTGTTGCAGCTGTGTGGATGCAAGCTCTGGCCCTGGATCGAAGACCCGTACATTCTTGTATGTATTTTCACTTTATTTTAGTTGCTACAATGAGGACATTAATATGCAGAGGCACACAAATGGGAACTGACTAATATAGCAAGATACTGATGGACATAAACCACACTATTTAATTACAATAGAACGCTTACACTTTTAAAAAATGGTTTGGCCATTTGAATGAAAAGAGTATCAGTATTGCTTAGTATTCTTAATAGCATTTGCTATTAGTGTTATTTTTAACCTATTCTGCTATCAAGAGCATTTTCAGTCCTTTTTAATTCCCAGATAAAAGGACTCTAAGATGACACTTTGTGTTGAAAAATGTATAACCATTGTTCTTTTTTTCCCATTTAACTACATTAAAAAATATTGATTTATGCATTTATAACTTATCCGATATTCCAATCTATATAAACACTGATTAGGAAAACAGATTTTTAAAACCATATCACACACCGATCACATATCCAAATTGTTACAAATCAGCACAGAATAGAAGTCATCGGTGCTGCACTCTAAAGAAGATTTCACAAAGTGAAGCATAGCAGTTCCAACCAACAGTGCATAAACTGTTATGCTAATTTCTGCTAATAATAGTTTATTTGGTTATCTGATCACTATTTGGGTACCTGCGATGTCTGTAGTTCTTCTGTTTTTGTGGCTGAGCTGTAGTAGAGGCCAGTGGTTATAGTTTTAGTTCCCCCTCTCACTCGTGTAAAAGCCACACAGGTCATCTATAATCCTGTAAGCCAGATGTCTTGTTCTCTCAGCCTATTGCTCTCAGCGACACAGATTGACAGCAGTATACACTAAATAGGAACAGTTTGTGGTGTAAAGAAAACTTCATTTCAGTTTTATTGAACATTACAAAGTTTGATCCCAGAAAAAATGCTTAAAAACACACAGAAACAAAAAACATTGGCTCATTATAGAATAAATAACAATCATATATTAGCAATATCCACAAATTATTTTCTTCTGCAATGTAAAAAAGTTAAAATATTCACTCCTGGCTAAGTTTGATTTGTTTTTACTGTCAACGAGATTGTCAGAGTCCTCCGCCATTTTGTAGTTACACAAAGTGTGACGTTTCAGAAAATAAATAAATAAAAAATGGGAGGACCTAAAATGGCCGCATACTTACGCGGTGTTCATCAGCAAGAGTTTCACTCACACTTGTGGTCCACTGCAAGTTGGTCTTTAATGTTGGTCCCTGAACACACCATAAAAGACCAATAACTGGCTGTCCTCCTGACACATACTGGAGTTGTACATGGGAAAGCGACCTCCAGCCTTTACTCCCTCAGTCCATTCGAGTTAGCCAAGCTATCCCCGCACTCTCTCCAAGCTTCATTTACTGCAAATGAAGCAGAGTGGAAGAAGGATTTGATCAATATTCATAGGAAAATTCAGAGTTCAGGAGGAGTACATGGTGCCGAAGTTCATTCATTCAACTCGCGCTTCGCTCTGGTTCTCTTTAACCTGTCTAAGATGGGCTGACCACTTTAAACACCAATCAGAACTGTCTGGATTTTCACATTCATCCACTCGTAAACCTTTTCCCCCTGGCTTTTTATTTTTTACACAGTGAAATATACATCTGAACAATCTTGTGAGTCCCTGGTTGGATTTAAATAGCCTTACATGCTTCAGTCTCTTGGATACAGTGAAAACGATTGGCCAGGAGTGCATGCTGTGCATGCCCAATCACAGGGCATCACCAAGGAGCCTGCCAGCCAATGGGAGGAAGAAGATGGTCTCTGTGATTTCATTGTCACTAAGGGAGGGGGGTGAACATGCTGCCAGGACAGTTGGTGCAAACATGCTAAGCAGTGGACTCTATAATATTCAGAGTGTATATGTCTGAGATAACCTGTGGAGCCAGATCAAGAGTGTTGCCAGGAGAGAAGAACGCAGGGCGGGACTAAGAAGCTCCCCTCAGCAGGATCAACACAGTCCCTACACAGTGCAAACGAGCTCATAGTACACCCACGTCACTGTTATCGGTGCCGCTCACGTCAGGAATGAATGGGCTGATTTGTGAGAGCTGTCGTCCTGCTTGAAAGTGGCGTGTCTCCTTGGCAACCAGCTCCGTCTCTGTCCAGGAGCTTAGACTGACAGAAAGCACTTAGCTCTTAGGACAGGAGCTTCTTCAAGCTGCCATTCATTCAGCTCTCTTCATACTTTCTTTTCACATATTTAATTCTAATAGTTTTTTTTCTTCTTCATATTTTTTTTTCTAAACCATCTGATATCTTGTTTGAGCATTGACTTATTTTGTGGACACCACCACAGTGGTTTTTAAATTAAACTGTCAGGATGTGATTAAAGTGCAGACTTGGGGATAACAAAAGTATTGCTTTAACTACACAGAAATTACCCCCATTTTTATACATAGTTTCCCTTTTTTCAGAGGCTCAAGCAATTTTATAGCCAGGTGAGGCCTGTTCAGTTGTTATTCAATGTGAAGTGTTGAACTTGCATGTAGTGGCTTTTCACTGGAATTTTTAGTATGAGTTCCAACGAGATGTCAGTTTAAGGAAGGCGATCAAAAATCTGATACCTTCTTTAAAGGAGTAAATGCACTAACCAGATTAGCAACATTAAAAGGCCATAAGACAACTAGAGTGGATGATGACAGAATTATTTCCGTGGTTAAGACAACTTAAAACAAAAACAAGATCTAAGCAAGTCAAGAACACTTTGGAGAGTTTAGAGGCATATTACTGTCAAAATCAAGAGCCTCCTTCATGAATGGAAACACAGAGTGCTTACAACAAGGTGCAAACCACTGGTTACACTCAAGAACAAGTAGGCCTGATTAAGCTTCTTCTAATATCTAAAGTTTTTGTTAAACACCTTGAATCAAAGATTTTAAATTTAGTGATTGTAAAATCCCTTTCACATTATGACCTCACTCACATTACTTTTTAAAAACCTACTTGAAAACCCATTTTCATTCTTTGACATTTAAATCAGACTGTGTTGTATTATTCATTTTCTTCTAGCTGTAGTTTGGTCAGTGCCAGATCTTTTTAAACATGCTTATAAATAAAAAAGTAAATTGTATATTGTATATTCTGGGTATAAAAACATTTTTCTAAACCAAAAAAAGGTAAGGTTCAAATCAAATCAAATCAAATCACTCTTATTGTCACATCACATGTGCAGGTACATTGGTACAGCACATGTGAGTGAAATTCTTGTGTGCGAGCTTCACAAGCAACAGAGTTGTGCAAAATACAATAATGTAAACAAGCAAAATACAAGAATGGCTACATCTGAAACTAATAAATATATGTACAATATATAATAGTATATGCATTTCTGGATGTGTATACTAAATATTTTTCTACGTGTGTGTGTGTGTGTGTGTGTGTGTACACATATTTTACAAATTAAATAGAGTAAACAATAAATAAAATATATAAAAATATACAGAGTGAGACATGTGCAAAACAGTGGCATTACTGTACAGTATGGAGTGCATAATGTTAAAGTTCCAGTAGTGAAGCTGAGGTGTCTATGACGTGTTCAGCAGTCTGATGGCCTGGTGGAAGAAGCTGTCTCTCAGTCTGCTGGTACGGGACCGGATGCTGCAGAACCTCCTTCCTGATGGAAGTAGTCTGAACAGTTTATGGCTGGGGTGACTGGAGTCCTTGATGATCCTCCCCGCTTTCCTCAGGCACCGCTTCCTGTAGATGTCTTGGAGGGAGGGAAGCTCACCTCCAATTATCCGTTCAGAGCACCGCACTACTCGCTGGAGAGCTTTGCAGTTGTAGGCGGTGCTGTTGCCATACCAGGTGGTGATGCATCCAGTGAGGATGCTCTCAATGGCACAGTGATAGAAGGTCCTGAGGATGCGGGGGCTCATGCCGAATCTTTTCAGTCTCCTGAGAAAGAAGAGGCGCTGCTGCGCCTTCTTCACTGTTTTGTTTGTGTGTACTGACCACGTAAGATCCTCAGCCAGATGTACACCAAGGAACCGGAAGCTGCTCACTCTCTCCACAGCAGCGCCGTTGATGGTGATGGGGGTGTGTACTTCTCTGCACCTCCGGAAGTCCACTATCAACTCCTTTGTCTTTGCGACGTTGAGGGTGAGATGGTTGTCTTGACACCAGTGGGTCAGGGCGCTGACCTCCTCCCTGTAAGCCGTCTCATCACCGTTGGTGATAAGACCCACCACTGTAGTGTCGTCCGCAAACTTCACAATGATGTTGGAGTTGTTAGTGGCCGTGCAGTCGTAGGTGTAGAGTGAGTACAGGAGAGGGCTCAGTACACACCCCTGTGGAGCACCAGTGTTCAGTGTGATGGGGGATGAGGTGATGCTGCCCAGTCTGACCACTTGGCGTCTGTCAGACAGGAAGCTAAGGATCCAGCTGCAGAGGGAGCTGCTCAGTCCTAGATCCTGCAGTTTCCTGTCCAGCTTTGAGGGAACGATGGTATTGAATGCTGAGCTGTAATCTACAAACAGCATTCTCACATACGTGTCTCTCTTCTCCAGGTGTGACAGGGCAGTGTGTAGGGTTCCGATTGCCTTGGTTTGTTTTCCACCCTAAATGTTTCAGAGTAAAATAAGCACTCTGTGACTGTGCTATTCTTGCTTCCCAACAGCAGTTACCTCAGTTGCATTGCTTCTATGTTGAACTGGAGACATTGCATTGGATAAGTAAAGCCAACGAACAAGTGTTTTAAACCCGAATCCTTTTTAATGGCCAGCAGGAGGCGATACTTGTCGTTGA